TAAGAAATCTTGTATTTCAGTGATCCAGCTATCAAATTGCTCATTAGTAATGGCTGCAAAACGACTTAATGTTTTACTGATTAAAGGCCGATCTTCTATCGGTAGTTTGTTGAGATATTCTTCAAACAGTTGCCTCTATATGGCATATATGAAAAACTATTCAAATTGGCAACCATCGACGAAGTAGCGTTTGCACGAGTCGACCATGACACATGCAGAGTGCCTGACATATGTATTCGAATAGCTTTTTGTTCGGGTCAAAATCAAAAGGCCAAGGTTTTGAAAATTGCTACTAATAGATATAGGTCACTGGTACTAAATTCCAAGGCCCGAGCTCATAAGTTGCGAATAAGGGAATAAAAGCCTTAACACAAGATAGGCAGGGTATCTATGACCTATGAAATCTCATTATATTGTCTAATACGACCAATAATGATTTTGTGTGTGCCAATATGTAGGGTATCTATAGTAGTATATACCTACAAAATTTCAGTCCTAAAAACATTGTTGTTGATGAATGGTGAAATACACAATGTATATGGCCTACATCAATTATAGTCATTTTTGACCCGAGGGTGTCTTTATTGTGGACTTAATATCTCAAGAAAGGAAAGGTTTTAGAAGCTGAAATTTTTAGCGTTTTCATATGTCACTTAGGGCTATATGCTGACAAAATTTCTTTGAAATCTGAGACATCGATTGAGCAGGGGTATTGGGAAATGTATAGTCTATTTCGTGCATTGACTCCTAGGAGTTTCCAGAAATTCTTATGAATCTCCAAAATCCTCTGAACTCTGTATGAATCCTTAATAGAAACTGAATTATTGAAAAATTTGTTGATTTTGAATTACTTTGTGATCCATTTCCATCATGGACCCGAGCATCACAAAGGATAAGACATTAGAACTTATGGAAGACCTATAGAATAGGGTTGGAGGACTTAAACTGTAAATAATTGAAAACCGAGAAAAATAGTTCTTCGATTATTCAAAAACCCACGAACGAGCGGATAGTGCTTGAGGACTTATAGATACCCTAGAGGATAAGACTTGAGGACTTATGAGTATTTACTATCATCGCATTCTGATCAATGAGATATAATGTCAGTGTCAGTATTTCAGTGTGCACACCAACACTGATATATCTCTAGTTGAGGATTTATAAGCAGCGCCATGAGATAACCCTTGAAGGGCCATGGAGAAACCCGTAACAGACCAATTTCAATCACTTCCAATCAATTCTAATCAATTTCAAGACTCAGTATTGACTGCAATTAGAATTTTCGTATCTCTACATTTCACTGTCATTTTTCTAACGACATTCTTTTCTTTTTCTTGTATCGATATTATCTACAATGGAGGGGAAACAAGCGCTTGTTATTGACAATGGCAGTGGTGAGTTTTGAAAGAAGAGATTCGCACATAGAACTTCAGTATCTAATAAATGATTGTGTTTATTTGAAAAAAAAAGGTACAATCAAAGCTGGCTTTGCTGGTGATGATGCACCACGTTCAGTGTTTCCGTCGACTGTTGGTCGAGCCCGTCACTCAGATGCGATGGTTGATGCGTCTCAAAAGGACTTTTATGTCGGTAATGAAGCTCAAGAGAAACGAGGTAAATCAAATATTTAGAGATTATATTGATCATTTCTACTAGCTTGTTTCTCTCTCTTAAGTATTCTCAGTTTAAAATACCCGATCGAACGTGGTATTGTAACAAACTGGGATGATATGGAAACAATTTGGCATCATACTGTCGACAACGAACTTTGTGTTGCTTCAGACGAGCACCCGCTGTTGCTCACCGAACGTGTACTTAATCCAAAGAGCAATCGTGAGGAAATGGCAAAAATCATATTCGAAAAATTCAATGCTCCTGGTATGCCTCTCTCATTTCGGTTCTGTTCTATTATTATTATTGATTTCTGTCTCTGTAGCCTTCTATGTGGCTGTTCAGGGTGTTCTTTCTTGCTATGCAAGTGGTCGTAAAACTGGTATTGTGCTCGATTCTGGTGATGGTGTCACACAAATTGTCCCACTCATTGAGGGTGAAATTCTTCATCCAGAAAAAGACAAAAATTTCGAGCAGTTAAATACTACACATGTTCTTTCGGATGCAGCTCTTTGTCTTGATTTGGGTGGTCAAGAGTTGACCGATTATTTGATTAAGCTTTTGATGGAACGTGGCTATACATTTGGAACAACACCCGAACGTGAAACAGTTTGGGATATCAAAGAGAAGTATTTCTATGTGGCACTTGATTTTGATGCAGAAATGGCGAAAGCTATGCAATCTACAGAGTTTGACAAGTCCTATGAGCTGCCCGATGGTCAAGTCATTACCATCGAGAATGAACAATTTCGATGTGCAGAAGTCTTATTTAAACCGATGCTTCTCGGCATGGAAGAGGCTGGTAAGATACATTGCCTCTATTGCTCTTCTTCATCTTTTCTCTTACTCAAATTTTAACAGGCATTCATGAAGCAATCTACAATTCGATTATGAAATGCGACAGCAATATTCAGAAGCATTTATATGGGAACATCGTTCTTAGTGGTGGTAAGTAACGATTTGTTTGTTCTTTTTTTTTGTAATTTCCATTGAGATTTTCACTTGTTTAGGTACGACAATGCTTCCGGGTATTGCTGATCGAATAAAGAAGGAAATCACTCCATTGGCACCACGGACAACAAAAATTGAAATTATTGCACAACCTGAACGTAAACATGCTACATGGATCGGTGGTGCAATGTTGGCTGCATTATCAACATTTCAAGCTATGTGGATTTCTAAAGAAGAATATGAAGAACAAGGTCCATCAATTGTTCATCGCAAGTGTGTTTAACCCTTTGAAGACGAAATTTTTTTAACTATACGGAAACATTTTTCAATCCTCTTATTTTTTTTTCCTCAAAATATCTACTTAGAAATCTTATAATAATCAAAATAAAACAATATTTTTCATCTGTTACACAAAATGTCAATTTGCCAGTAGAGCATTCGATATTAGATCGAACTTCTGTGTTTCCCTAGTGCTACAATAAACACATCTGCTTCTTTTTCCTTTCACAGACAAATGCATTTCATTGTCAGAATTAGAGATAGTTTTTGGTGACGCTAGTTTAGACTTCTTTTTGAAAGGAGACTTTTCATAACTTATTCGTTCGCTACCAGAACAAAGAGACTTCATCACTACAACTATGTAGTTTGAAGGGTTCGAGCGAGTGAAAAAGTACACCATGCTCTATAAAAATCCGTATTCTTGGAAACCCTTATTGGATTTCCGAGCAGATTGAAAAACTCAATTTGCTTCACTCCCATACGCTCTGCTCTATCGAAATAATTTTCCGACACTTCACAAACCTGTTCGATCGATGTCGATGTAGATCTAATTATAATTCAGAACAGGAAAAGTTAATTTTTTGTTTAAAAGAATCGCACACCATTAATGTCGATGAATATTGATACAAATCTAAATTAATGAGAAAAAGAAAAATTAATTTTATTCAAAAATATGACTTACGATTAAGTTGTTGTTGATGTAAATCGTTAACAGATGTGTGACTGTAAGCAAATAGAGCATTCCTATCAATTTTTCTCAATTTTTTCAAATCCAATATTCATTAAAGGAACAGAATATAAAAATGTTTTTTGAATAAGTTAAAATAAAAAGGTTCTCGAAGTAATGTATGGATGAATTATGATAAAATCGAACTCTCTGAATGAATCGATAGTGAGAAAAGATTGGTGAGAAGAAAAATAAAATTAGAATGTTTTCTAATACCAAAGTAATGAAAAACAATAATCTTGTAAAGTTAAAAGAGAAAAAGAAAGATAATCAAAAAAATTTCTTCCTCTTTTTTATTGCTTTCTCATCATGTTCAATGTTCTGTTCATTGACATTTAAGCAATTATACTCTTATCACACATTTCGCTCAGCTTAAGCCTTTTCTTGTAATTTATACTAACTGATCTTATACTTTCTGTGAAGATATCAACTAAAACAACTTTTCAGTGCAGGGCTCACACTTTATCTTTATTTTAGAATGAAAAAGTAAACTAAAGTTGAGTAACGTTACTTTATTGATAGAGTAAAGATAAAGTACCAGCCTTATTTAAGTGGCAGAAACATTAATCATTTTTACCTTAACTGATCTTTGAAAAACAGAATTATTAAATTTTATTCTCATTCGATTAAATTCTATTATAAAAACCAAGATGAAATAATACTTTTAAGCTAGTGTATCAGCATTGGTGGAAAAAATATCAAAGTTAAGTTGTTTCCTTGCATCTACAGATTAAAATCATTGAAGGTTGGATTGGTAATGTTAAAAATAATTGAAGAGCAAAACTAGTTCTCAGTTAAATTAAATATTTGCATGCTACGGATTACACACTTTTAATGAAACATACTGCGTAATAGGTCCAAGTGCTTTTAATTCTCTAAGAATTTCTAAAACAAAGCACAAAAACATGATTCTAAAATGAACTTAGAACATCAGTTTTGTTCGTTCGTAAAATTTATAAACTCTAAACCTTTTTTTTTGAAACTCATGGCAATGGTCTCAAAGCTCTAGAAAGTGTCGGTTACTCAAGTAAATTTTGACAACTCGGAAACATAAAGTTTCTGATAAAATGCTTCGGAAAAGATATTCTCGAATACCTACACCCCTCCCCGTATTAGAAGACCCCCAGAGCTTCTAAAGTGTCCAGTATAAAATTTTTTTGGAGGGGGCTTCTATTATGTCCTATGATTTTTCGAAGGTTTTAGGCATCAAAGTTTTTCCAAAGCCTTAAGAGGATTTTCAGGGTTTTTTACAGATTTTCGAGGGTTTTGAAGGAGGTTTTGAGATTTTAATACGGTTAACTAAGAATTTAGCGCATTTTTACCTTAAAATTTTGTAGTTTTTTAAGTTTTGCTGTGTAAATACTAAAAAAAGTTTTCACAATAAGGGGGCTTCTAATATGCCCGGGATATCCAATCCCCCAGAGGGGGCTTCGCGAAATGTGGAGACACATTATCTTCGTGTCGAGATTTCATTAAAAATATCAGTTTTTCTTCTTCTTCAAAATATCTAAACTAAAATTCTAAACTTCTTCTACTTCTTCTTCTCCTTCTCTCACCTTAAGAGAAGAGAAATCATTATCATCATCTCCAATCGTCTTCTTCTTCTTTTATCATACAAAGGAAGAAGAAATACTACTATGACTTTATAACTAAATCTCACATTAAGTTTATATTTAGTATTCTTTTAAAATTATAAAATATAATTTAGTAAAATATAAATTCATTTGCACTACTTTAATTTCGTTCTGCGCTCCTTCTCCTCATCGATCATCATCAATTGAAGAGAAGCAGATTATCAATTATCATCAACAACCATTAGATATTATTATTAACTGTTACTATTTCATCATTGTACATTCGTTTTTCTGTAAAACATTTTATCGTAATAATAATTTGTTGTTGGTGTGTAAAACCGAACTGCCGGTTATTTTTGTTATAGCAAGTTATAGAGGGCTAACGTGCTACTACAGGGGGGCTTCTATTATGGGGAGGGGTTTATTTGGATACCCAAGCAACTTTCAGAAGAGCTTTGGTTTGTGAGAATATCTTCTCGGTTTCCAACAACTGTAAAAAGGTACTCTAGAATACTCTATTGGAATCCAAATCGGTATTTTCAAAAACCAAAAGGTTTCCGAGATCTCCAAAACCAAAAAAATATGCTTGAAAACGCTTGAGACGCTCGCAAATCCTTTCGGAAGCTCTTTATGGGTTCTGAGAGGATTTCCAAGAATACGGATTTTTTTAAAGTGTATTGTCGTAGTAACTTAATTCAATCTCACCCTCAAGACTAAATGTCCAAAATGTATTCAGTTGTAGTTATCTATAATTGCACCTCTTACATGATGTATATATTGAATAATTATTTCATTTGTTAGATATCTCTCAAATGAATTTTATTTACTATTTAATGTTAGTAAAACATACATATTATACTGAAGTGCTTTTTTCTCAAAATGAAAAAAACGAATTGTCATATCATTTGTCTTTGAAGTATTTTCCACTATTTTGTTTGACTTTAGATTTGAAGATTTTTGAAGAATATTCCCATTGAGCCATATAACGTTTTGCAATGTCTCGTTGTCGGCGTAA